TGGATCATCTTACGACACACACTGGATAATATGGAGTAGTGGATCATCTTACGACACACACTGGATAATATGGAGTAGTGGATCATCTTACGACACACACTAGATAATATGGAGTAGTGGATCATCTTACGACACACACTGGATAATATGGAGTAGTGGATCATCTTACGACACACACTGGATAATATGGAGTAGTGGATCATCTTACGACACACACTAGATAATATGGAGTAGTGGATCATCTTACGACACACACTGGATAATATGGAGTAGTGGATCATCTTACGACACACACTAGATAATATGGAGTAGTGGATCATCTTACGACACACACTGGATAATATGGAGTAGTGGATCATCTTACGACACACACTGGATAATATGGAGTAGTGGATCATCTTACGACACACACTAGATAAAATGGAGTAGTGGATCATCTTACGACACACACTGGATAATATGGAGTAGTGGATCATCTTACGACACACACTGGATAATATGGGGTAGTGGATCATCTTACGACACACACTGGATAATATGGAGTAGTGGATCATCTTACGACACACACTAGATAATATGGAGTAGTGGATCATCTTACGACACACACTGGATAATATGGAGTAGTGGATCATCTTACGACACACCCTGGATAATATGGAGTAGTGGATCATCTTACGAAACACACTAGATAATATGGAGTAGTGGATCATCTTACGACACACACTGGATAATATGGAGTAGTGGATCATCTTACGACACACACTGGATAATATGGAGTAGTGGATCATCTTACGACACACACTAGATAATATGGAGTAGTGGATCATCTTACGACACACACTGGATAATATGGAGTAGTGGATCATCTTACGACACACACTAGATAATATGGAGTAGTGGATCATCTTACGACACACACTGGATAATATGGAGTAGTGGATCATCTTACGACACACACTGGATAATATGGAGTAGTGGATCATCTTACGACACACACTAGATAAAATGGAGTAGTGGATCATCTTACGACACACACTGGATAATATGGAGTAGTGGATCATCTTACGACACACACTGGATAATATGGAGTAGTGGATCATCTTGCGCCGCCACTACACGGCGTACTGATAGTATGTCCTTAATATATTCCAACCATGGCGTTCATCTCAGCTTAATGGAAACTATTGTGTGATTAAATAGAAGTCATATATTTTATATGCACTTGTCTATATTGATTGATAATAGAAATTCATGTTACCCTACGATAGTAAAACTACTGACACCAATCTTCTTACCGTCTAAAAAAAATTTAATCAAACTAGTTTTTACTGATTTTTTCGTTTTTTTTAAATAGAATAAGGGTAACAAACGAACACTCAATCCACCTGGTGATAAGTACATTCTGTGGCCCATAAACATCTACATTTATCCTTGTTTAATAATCAAAACGCAGATGCATTGTCACCCCTTAGGTCTACGATGAAATGCCTCGTTTTCAGTAAAAAGGGTCGACGTATCTCTACACTCACTATACGAAATACAGCAGTATTAAGTTGCTATTTTACGCTGGTATTCTGTGAGAGTGTGGTCCTTCCCCGGTAGAGCCAACGCATTCGTGCTACAACTATAATATGGCTCTACTACGTATAATAACTTATTTTATATCCCCGATGTTTCGAGTACTTTACAGCACCCATGGTCACGGGGGGGGGGGAGGCTAAAATAAGTTAATAAACGCGATAAAATAAGTAAAAACTAGTTTTATTCAAATGTGTAGCGTTCGCGTAAATATAAGAAATCATTACGTCTAAAAAAATGTTCTTCCGACTAATACAAAGCAGTACAATGTTATGTCCTACGTGTTTAATCTTTTATTTTACCGAGAATTGATTATATCAATGTGTTGCTCAGAACTGTCTCAACAACATCTTAAAACATTGGAGCGTTCTCCTTAACAACTCCATCATCCATAAATTTGCGGTCGTCTAAAACTATATGATCACAAAAAATATCTTTTTATTCGTACTCAGATTATTTAGCGACGAACTATAAACCATTTTAAGCCAGTGCTCGACTACTATCCCACGCACAGAAATCTAAATAATATTGCCTTATTATTTAGATTTCTGTGATCCTACCTGATGGTAACTGGTGAGGTAGCCGAAGATGAAATACTAACCTTTTTGTCAACTTTGAGCTCACCTAGGACGTATTTGTAACAAACAGTTTTTGTGTTTATTTGGTATTTACTTATATCAAATTAAGAAACGACGAAAGCAATAAGAACTTGATTATCTTAAGCTGGTAAAATAATCTTGTTTTTGACGTGGTAGTGCGATGTTGCGGTTGTATAATGATTGTCGCACAAATACGTCTGTTATCACTTATCACTGGTTCGAAGAGCACCATTTTTTTATGAAGAACCAGTAAGAAATATACTGTTTCGTTTTTAAATATAAGGAAGGAGGTTTTTAACTATAATATGTACAAATTATACAATAAACTAGACAGTGCTTTGTGGCATATTAGTATGATACAATAATTTATTTTTCTTTTAATATTTTTCATTGTTTTTCTTTCCATACTACCAAACTGGGTCCTTACCGATAAATTTTTCATTAATCAAAAGCTGCCTTCTAACTATATTAATATTAGTTGTTTCTGTATTTTTATCTATTCGCCCTTACTTATTTTGTACTTCTAAGAATCGTACAATCGGAAAGCATTAAGAGTATCACTTTTTTAAAAAATCAGACAAAATATTTAATATGTATGCACTTATGTATTTAGTTATTTATATATTTAAATTTTATAATCTCTCTTGTTTATCGTTTATAAACATTAATGACCTTTATGCCATTTATACTTGTAATAATATATTCTATGCTTAGGCTAAGAGTTGGCTGGTAGGGAATACTTTTTGACACTAAGTCGTATGTTGTACATTCTTCGTAATATCAATATGAAAACATCAAAATATTGTGCTTCCACTACTGGAGGGATTATTCACTCTTTGTATCCCGATTCATACTTCACTTTTTAAGAACTCTATACAATTTAAAAAACTCTTTTCACTTCTTAAATCAGACGTGGTCCTTCACTACTGGCCGTATGAAAAAGCTTAAGATCGCTCATCGAGCTATGGAGAACGTTATGCTTGGGGTTTCTCTGCGCTTCGATCAATAATAGTACTGATCGAAGTCTCTGCGTGTTAGATTTAGAAATGAGGCTATCCGCAATAGTACTAGAGTAACGGAGATAGCCCAACGGATTAGTAAGCTGAAGTAGCAATGGACCGGCCATATAGCTCGAGGAACCGACAACCGATGGAGAAAAAAGGTTCTTGAGTATCAAACTCGTACCGGTAGACGAAGTGTAGGGTGGACCCATCACTAGATGTAGTGAGAACCTGGTAAAACATGCAAAAAGTCAATGGATGCAGGCGGCTCAGGACCGTGCTTTGTGGCATACCTTGAGGGAGGCCTAAGTTCAGCAGTGGACTTGTGAAGGGCTCTAATGATGATAAATATTTAGTAATAAATATTAAATTACGTAAATAATCTATAATTATATCAGAAGTTAATCATAGTCGAAAGCCTTGAAATAATTTTACTTGGGATGATAACAAATAACTATATTTTAATTTTAACACTTCCTACTCTTAGTGATGCATATATAATAACGCTCACCAACCACCTTGAATCTCCAGTGGTGTCGCAGTCTATGGCGATACACGCAGAATATAGCAGTTAATTAGTGACATTTCCGTAACTCACTTCCGCTTTGATTTGCAAAATTAAGAACATACTTTATTGAAGGCCATTCAACCGCTTGTAAACCTCATCTCTATGTATTGTTCCAGTACAAGAAAGCCATCTTTAAATAATCATTTTAATAGCCATCACGTATATGCGAATTCCTAAGTTCTCTTATCTTATATGGAAGTATATAAAATACCATAATTAATATAACTACGAAGGTTCCATATATTTATTACGTAGGCACTAGTCCAGCGCTTCCGAGTACACTGACTGAATTACCTTCACAGATTTGCGGTATACCTAGTGCCTTAGTGCAGTTTGGCTGCGTACTCATCAAGACGTGCATTCGCATTCCGAACTTTTCTACGAATTATATCAGTGGCATTGACCCTACATGCTCCTTAGCCAAACAAAAAACGTCAAAGTCCATGAGGAAAACGTATTAATCCTTTGCCTCCATTACATTTTTAATTAATTATCTGTAAATATTGTTGTTTTTTTTTACATTCGACAGCCGTGTGTAAAGTGCGTTTGGAATAGGAATTGGGCATAATTTTAAAAATAAATTCACTTTATATTCATGAGTATCAAGGGCGAATATCAAAGAAGTGTTTCAAGAAGGAAGCACAAACGGACGGCGTAGTAGCTGTGAATCTGTACCGTGGCAACAATGTTGACTACGCAGGTTCTCGGATGCCGCGCTAATTCCGCGCGCCCGCGTGGAATCGCTAATCAACAGACACTAACGTTTCCAAATCAGTATTCTGTTAGCAACTATGTCCAGTACGCGATAGCAAATCGCTAAAAATACGAGATACTACAGGAAGGGCGCCTCATGGCCGACATGGCCTTACTTGATTCACATAATACAATCAACGAATATTCATTCCTGATTGAAATTTCAAGTGTCAGCCATTATCACATTGATGCATAATTTGTACCAATTTAAAACCAGGATCAAATAAAAAGCCAATGGATTTATTTCAAAATTTTATTAAAATCCGTAATAAACTTCACATAGCTTTTTACTCTTATTTTAAATAGGAAGACGACATGTGTATTGCTAATTTTTAAATAACAAGCTAAAATGTAACAAAATCACGCAAAACTTGGCAGGTGAAAAACCTATATATAAGGAAATAGTGTTGTTATCGATAGCAAGATGCTATCGATAAAAATGCTATTTCGTGGACCAATGCTCTTATCCTACCGCTACTCATGTAAATAATTTAAAAATAATTAAGTCTTGCAGTTTATATTGCTGAGACCTGGTAAGTCAAGAAAGCCTCTTTGGAAGACATCAATATCAGAATTTTCCCGTATTCTCTCAGTAAGAGCCTTCTCCTGAGCTAGTGGATGCCAGGCACCCAAAGTGCAAGCGGTGTCGGTGCGGGGCGCGTGGTAATGACACCTCCGTGTGGCCCTGGCCGATGGCACATACTCGAACACGCGAACACGATTGCAGCGGTGTAATGCAAACCAAACACCTGGAAACATGCAAGTCATTCGTATTACTACCTATCTTGGTTGTCATACGATTGCATAGACATATTTCAAATAATAAACGTGAACAGAAATAAATTTAATACGTAATAATTTGTGTGTGGAAACTGCCAAATAATATTACTGTAATAACTTTTAAAATATTTTATAGTTCTCTCCAGAAATAGAAGAATAAATTTTTATTATTATTTTATTTTTAAGCAAACCATTCAGTCGCCCGCTAGTAAATTGGCGAATATCTAGCTAGTAGTTTATATAAAATATAAGCATATGCATACACTTTTACAATATTAATATATTTAGAAAAATAGTAAAATTACACAGTCTACAAACTTTTCTTATAAAATTAAGGTGACAAGCAGGCACACAGTCCATAATTAGCCCTGTGACAAGATAAAGCTGTAAGAGTCGCATAGACTAACAGCATTAACATCAAGATAATAGAGACACAGTCCATCTGATAGTAAGTGGATGCCGCATCCCATCGACATTTACATCTATTCTCGATTAAAAATCAAAATGTATATGCATTGTCACTCCTCCACTCCATGTTCACTCGCCATACGAAACACAGCAGCATTAAGCTGCTATTTGACGCTGGTATTCTGAAAGAGCGTGGCCCGGTCAAGGTGACCCATTCATGCTACCACCATAATATAGCAGCAGCATGGCTCTACCACCTGTAAACTTTCTCATCTGTGGTAAAGCAACACGTGAAATTGCAATAATCAACATTGATCAGCATTGAGGCGCGTACTAGGTTGTTCGTGTAATTATATTATTTTAAATTACCTCTTATGATAAACTACATAACCATACCTGTAAAACCTGATGAAGGTGGATTCCTTCTTAGACGATAGGGGGATGAATCTTGTAAAACGGTCCAGAGACCCCACAATACGTTAGGGTATAGTAAATGTACATCCGCTTGCGGTCTGGTTTCAAGCAATCTGTGCAAAAACAATTATTATTTAAGGAAAAAAACATACAAAATACTTAAAGCTTGTCATTTCCTGAACATACCTTTTGTAAACAGGAAAAAGAGGAAAATCGGGATGATGATACCATTCGTCCAAAGTGGATGAATAATTTGCCGGGTCCCATATTAATATCGATACTCCATTAAACAAAGGATTGTCCAAGAAATTGTACTCCGGTTTTGTGACAACCTAAAAGTAATCAACTATAAATTTTTTACATTTTAAACCAATAGCGAGCACTTATGGTCTCTTCTATAAATTGCTCTGGTGGCTAGCCGCTAGAAGATATGAGGTCTAAAGGAAAACGATGGCAATGATCAATACATTATCCATCCATTACAGCCTACAAAAGTCTACTGTTAAACATGGCCGGGACGATAAGTGTTATGGATATTTTTACACCATTACTACAAGAGTAAGACGAAATGCGGGTGGTATTTTCACCATACAAACGATCTCACCTGTTTTCTTTCTGATTTATGATTTTATAGTTATGAGTTAGTAGTAATTAGTGATATTGACATGGTACCAGTTTCACTTAACGCATAATTATGTAACTTAGACCTCATTAAATTTTGAGCAAAATCGGTTGTCGTTTTTTGCGTCGAATGAAAAATTATATAAAATATTAAAACATATGTTTTTTTTTCTTTCCGCTGGGAAGTTAGTCGTGTGGACCTTTCGGGTCGCACCTAGACTGCTTTTTAAATAAAAAAATCGTACCCAAATCTGTTCACCCGTTTGAAAGTTACGGTACAGCCCTATTTTTCATAGGGGGTTACAAAAATAGAAAATTTACAAAACCTATATAAAGCTTAAATTCAATAATTTATATGATTTATTTTGTACGTCGCTGTATAGTGGCAGCTTAATAAAATACTCTGCACTATATTAATATCCTGTAGGTGTAGTAAGAGGCAGGGCAGCAGTCGGGCAGCTGCATCTTCGTTATAACATCTAAAAATAATAAAAAATCGTTGACCAATGGCAGAAATCCTTCCCATGAGGCAATCGATGGGGATGGAACGCGAACATAGAGTTCAGAAGTGGACTTTCGATAGGCTGTAAAGTGTGAGGGAATGAACTTTACAGCATGTTCTTTTCTACATATGTTTTGTTGAACGTTTATTTGTTAGTACGTAAAAATATTTCCCGTGTAGTGGCGGTGTAAGGATAACCACTACCTCATATGATCCCGTGGGTGTCGTAAGAGGCGACAGAAGGAAACAACAGCGTTTTCCTAAAAACGACTAAAAATATAAAAATTCCGGTTGCCAAACCGCTTGCCAAGCGTGGCAACTGTGGCAAATACCCCTCTATGAGCAATCTATACGGAGACCTATGTTTAGCAGTGAACTTTAACAGACTTTAACGGTAATAAATAGTACGTATTATTGGACCAATTACTTATATTAAAAACGCAGGTGAGATTTTTCGAATGTCTTTTACGGTATGATGATTACTTTGAATAACTACAAAAAGTATGGCATATTACAGATGTTTTTATCACTTACTTATTTTTTTAATCTGGCTTTGAAAAATTTAAAAACAGTATTTTTTTATTGAAAATTGTTGAATACTGTATAATGGAAAATGCTGAGGCCCCATGGTTTAATTGGGTATACATGGTTTAATTAAATGCCCAAAGAAAGCTTAGATAAATCATTTAGGTTTAACAAAGGATTCAGCAATGTTTAACCTTCTTTAAACAAATTTTTTACAATTAGTTTGAGGTTTAATTTGATAGAAATCGTTTGGTGGAATTTCATTTAATTATTCCCAGGTAAAATTCGTGTTTGAAAGTATTTTTTTTATAAATCACCATTTGCATTTGTAAAATTACATTAGTTATGACGCCATCTTGTTAAATAACTGTTAGCAGGGTAGTAAAGGCAGGCAGAAAAAGAATTTAAATTGGTTTATCAAAAGAGCAGCCAAGACTTTAAATCATACAGTGAACGTCTTTGTAATTCGTCTAAATTATAGGATATACTAGAAACATACCATTTTTTTTGTTATATCTATGTATACAAGCAGTAGGTATTTATTAGATTATATAAAACAGTTCTGTTATAAAAATGTTAAAGCCTAAGTCATAAAAACTCTTAAATCTTACTTGAGAATTTAAGACACGGAATGTTGTTTTTGATCCCACGTCTTCTGTGAAATTCTCAGTGGGGGCGTTGTTGAATCTTAGAACCATATCATGTGAATCTGTGAACAATCACGTGAAAGAAATTTAGTATTATTTGGTATAAACAAATATTGTACAAATAATATACAATATTATAATATGGTGGAATTCCTTGGGGGAGGCCCTATATATGGCAGTGGTCTTGTGAAGAGCTGTAATAAAGATGATAATGGTGATTATAAGATTGTAATATTTTAAAAATTTTGTTGTTTTACTTGTTTGTAATATTTCCTTTTTTATAAAGTTTTTTACAACGTATTAGGCCCTTTGTCTATGAAACTGGCATTTTCTGATACTGGTTAGAAGTTCGGATACCTTACATCCGGTTTGGACTTTCATATTCAAATTACAATACAATACAATACAATACCCCTTTATTGAACACTAAGAAGAAAAAAAAGAAACAAAGAGGAAAACAAAAGGCGGTCTTATTGCTATGCAGCAATTTCTTCCAGACAACCTAAATAGGAAATAAAAATACCTAAGTGAAAAGTTAAGTAATAGGTAGAGTGCACTATAAATAATATTATAATCTATAAATATAAAAGAAATTTAATAAACATGCAACACGGAATTTACTTAATTGACAGATTAGTCATCATAAAACGACAGGAATAGATAAAAGGAGGAGGGATGATTTAGAAGGAAAGATAATATTTTTTAACTTGGTTTTTAAAGGAGTCTATTGTTTGAGCACGTTTTATACTTGATGGCAAGAAATTCAAAAGCTTCACTCCAAGAACTGAAAAGATTTACTGTAAAATTGTATAGTATGTTTAAACTTTTGACATTTTTATTAATTGTTATTTACATACACAATGACATTACGTGTGGTGGCAAAGTTTGGCGATTGAGGCAAATCCTTCCTACAGCAGGAGAGGTCCATCTCCAGCGTGCAGTACAGTGCGGACATGAACATGCGGATACAGACAATACTTTTAAAATATGAGTATTTTCTTTCTTCGCTAATGTAAATTAAAAAGTTCCCGTCGTCCACACAATGCACAAGGAACTAATAATTATAAATTCACCGTCGTCTACCGCAGACCTCGTTTCGGATCATTTCCATTTTTTTTCAGGATTTGAAAAAGCAGCATATTTAACTCTGATGAAGCGGTAATCGCCTACAACGAAGTCATCAATCCCCTTCACCATCATTTCTAGGTTGACAGCTTAGCAGCTGCAGCATCAGGTTCTATTGAACTTATATTAATATAAAACAACTGATTTGTTTTAGAGCAATGTACTAAAGCTTAAGCTATTATACTAAAATATGAAATTAATTTGAATTTAGAACTCCCAGTCAAATGAAAAACATTTAATTTTAAATTAGCCCTCATTAAAAAAAAGCAATATCAAATATGTTATTATTTTCATTCATTATAACCTATCAGAATGAATTTTTTTGATTTGATTTGATTGATTGAATTGAACATCTACTGCATAAGATAGGCCTCCACATAGTGGATTCTCTTGTCGCCACCACATTTTCTACTAACTTACGTGGGGTTAATATGGTCACTTTAAGATTTGCCGTCCTATAAAACCAAAACTAGGAAAAGAACAGAGACAAATATCATATACTACTACACAAAGTCGTATACTATAACTAATATATTAAGAGAAAATAGCAAACAAGTTTTGGAAATAATTAAGAACATTCGAAAAATCTACTTAATAAAACTAACTACACTACACCATACTAAAAGCGACTAAAATATTTACTGTAATGTCAACTGTTAAAATAACGTCGATAAAGCATCCCTCTTTTAACTCTTTATTATTAGAGCGACTGACAAAGCCATCTGTGCAAACAAGGCTGTAGTTTTTGAGTTACAAGTGACCATATTAACCGGTTGACCATATTACCCTCATGTATTATAATTACATTATTATTAATCATATAATATTTTTTTCGTTATTTTACACATAAATATTGAAATGAACTCCAGTCTGTTGTAAAATGTCTTTTTCTTTTGGTAGAAACATTTCTGTCCATTCTAAAACAGAACATGAGTATAAAACACATAGTGTCACTAGGTCGTACAGTATAGTCATGTTCATTGCTGTAAGTGAATGAAACGAACAAATGCAATATATAATTAAAATACTGCATTTTTTCCATTTCCTACGTAGCTGTACATAAATATACAGGCGGGGCATGTCCTTGACTGGTTATACGGCGCGAGAATCATCTTGTAAGTCAAGTTAAAAGACTTATTATATTTCGTCAATATCTGCGTTTGTAAAGCCTTTGACTGAGTAACAAATAAAACTATATTCTTTAACAACAGTTCAGGCTTTCTGACTTTATTTACATTCTAAAAATAAAGGAAGTCTTGGATTAGTTAGTGTTGTTCAACCGTAAAGATTTACAACAATAAACCCGCATTACAGTGGTGTAGGTTTATTCAATTTTTCTTAATTTATAAAGAAACCTGAATTTTGTTGAAAAAGCGATTTATGTTTTCTGTTTGCATAATCAGAAAAGTCAAGTATATACGATACTACAATTCCGGTTTTTGTCGATTATTCTTGCAAAAAGGGTTGAATAGATTTAAATTAAAAATTGATAGACAAAACAGGTAATAATACTTTGCTTAGCAAACATCTGATCGATTTTCCCCACACCTTTCCTACCTGGGTACGCGAGCAAAGCCACAGGACAAAACTAGTTATCCAAAAATTTATTATACCATAGCCACTATTAGTTTTAATTTTAGTGTTATTTAAAAAAGGAGAGAGTTAAAGTCCACTGCCAAACTTATTTAGAGAAAGAAAGAAACGTTTTATATTTGCTTTTTATTTGAAATATAAATATTAATATATTTCATTCACCTAATGGCAATACCATATACACGGCCTATTATTGTCCACGGTGAAAAAAGTAGCCAAATTAGATCAGAAGCTATCGACTGCACAGGATATGCAGTATTATACGAGTACTCGTAACGCATAAGTGTAGGTGCAAAAACAGGAGAAATACCCACTCTTTTTGTTAGATCGGATAATTTATCATTGCTTAATGTTACGTTTATAAGAAAAGACCGGATGTAAGCTACACTCCAGTGTCAGAAACACACGGACAACCACAAGATAAGCAACCTGAAAACCACCAACTTGTGCACAAATGTTTGCTATTTAGTTTGCTTTTTAACTTTTTCGTTTATTTTTAGAGGTAAGAGTACATAACTGGAATTCGAACCCAACTAAGCCACTTGAGCGCTGTATGTTGAAGATATTTATTATTTGATATTCTCATTATATCTGGTACTGACCAAAGAATTGAGACGTCAGCCTGCACTTTTTTACTCATAAAAATAGATTATTGTATACGCAACTGAGGTAAGACTTTGTTTTGTTTTGTTCTGTTCTTATGGATACATTTTTATTTAGTTTTGTATGGTAGCTACAAAGGTACAAACTCGAAAGCAAATTAATTGATATGCACCTCATGCACACACATAAAATAAACACTTTTTAAGTATTTTTGATTCAATGAAGAGCAAAATGAAATGCCCCATATATATCTTCATCTATCCTGGATTAAGAATCAATCTGGATGCAGATGCGTTGCCACCTAAGGTATTGGCCACTTTCTTAGAATGCTACAAAGCAGCACGGTCTTGAGCCAGCCTGCATTCATTTACTCGGTGTGTGTTTTATCAGGTCGTCACTTCTAGTGGAAGGTCAGGATAAATTTATGATAACGGTATCAAATGCGCAAATTTATTAATAGGTATGTAAATATTCACAATTTACATAATTATAAATTAATTAACGTATTATATCCGTCTGTGCAGTAAACAACTCGAAAGTACATAATTTATCAATGAACTAAGTAAGAAAATTTACCCCAAAAAATAAAACATGAAAATGGGGCCAAGGTCAGTGCAAACGATGGTTGACGTTGTCGGTTTACCTGATAAAAGAGTCTGAAAGGCTTTTATACATGTATTTTTTATATAGTACTAATGTGACAAACCAGGAGATAGATTCTAATAACTACTAGAAAAAACTGCCTTTGCCAACCCGTTTGCTAAGCGTGGCAACTATGACGAATTTACCCCTCATCAGGCATTCTCTGGTGAAGTCTATGTTCAGGAGTGAACTTGGTAGGCTGTATTATACAATTAATGTATAATAGTAAGTGGCTACTGCTGCGAAGTTCAAACTAAGGAGGCTACAGATTGCGTTGTCACCTCTTAACCAAGGTGTGATCGTAGCCTGTATTCTTCTGATTCTTCAGCATATGTTCTTCTTCTTGCTCTATGTTCTTCAGAGTGGTACACAGCAGACGCACTACTGTTTGGAGGCAGCAATAGAGAAATGAGTAAAGTCCACAAGGTAGAAATGGAGTCCTAACACCTACAAAATTCTACAACCTAGTTATTATAGGAATGCATATCGTTCTTTAATTGGCTTTTTTATAGGATAAGTGTGACAAACGAGCATACAGTCCACCTGATGATAAGTGGTTGCTGTGGCCCATACACGTGTTACGTGGTAGAGCCATGCTGCAATTATATTAGTAGTATAGTATTTATTATTAGCACGAACGTATTGGCTCAATCAATCACAGAATACCAGCGTAAAATAGCAGCTTAACGCTGCTGTGTTTCATATGATGAGTGCAGAGAATCGCAGACCCTTTTTACTGGAAACGAGGCATTCCATCTTAGATCTCACGGGTGACAACGCATCTGCATTTTGATTCGTTATTGAGAATTGATGATTTAAAAGAAAATTTGTTACGTTCTTTGATATTGCAACTTTTATATCCAACTATATTGTGGTATAAAATAGAATAACTAAAAAGTTTAATTTTAATTTGTATAAAATATTATAACGTTAAACATAATTTCTATTGAGATATTCCAATATCCCACCTCCCGTGGGTGAAAAGGAAGGAAGGAAGTAAAATGAAACAGAGAGATGGGCCTCAGCATCCTACTGATAATAACTCTCTTATATGTGGTGGAGCCACGCTGTAGCTATAGTATGGTTGTAGCACGAATGG